TTTTTTCTTTTTTTCTTTTTCCTTTTTCCCTTCATTTTAATTTTTTTCAATGGACGCGGGTTCAAATTCCGCCCCTTCCAGTCACTTTTTTAATTTAAAAAAATATCTTTAAATCCATGAAGTTATGATTAATCTCACCCCCATCTGTATTCCAGCCAATTGTCCATTTGCACCAAACAACAGCATCACAGCCGTGTCTCCACCCAGAATGTAACGATTTCCCGCGAAGTAATTCCTGGCTGGAAAACAAAAAGTACAATCATAAGGTAACGATTATTTTAACCAATCTTAAAGTATTCAAAACACTGTGACAAACAGCTATAATATATGTTTTTTTCAAGCCAAGCGATCAGCGCACGTATCATATTCCAAATATGTTTTTAAAAGTTTGTAATGTTATTACTTAGACATGTTGACCTTGGAACAGAGTGCCCTACTGGGACCCCCTATCGTACGTACGTGATTTTAGATTCAATATTTTCATATTTTCAATATATAAAACATATTTTCTTGACTGGAGTTTGATTAACGCAGGTAAAACGTCCAGATAAACATGAAAAACCGGTTTTAATATATCATCTTTTCGTGAAAATTTTTTCGTGTTCAACTGATTGTCGTTGACAGATTGTCAAAACTAGATAGTCAAGAATTCAACAAACAACGACAAAAACACATTTCCGTCATCATTCTGATGAAGTTATAGCCAAAAGGTCATGGTTGTTTGTTTTTGTTTTTGTTTTTTTTTATACCAAATCTACGCGTTTTATCTGTAGTCTTACATTCAATAAAATACTGAAGACTACAGGCAGATAAAGCTAAGAATGCAGAAAATGCAACATATCTTCTTGAGTAAGTTTGAGGACTTTTCTAGCGTACCATCACAAGTCTTGTTCAGCCTCCATCCAGCGGCTACTGCGGCGGTCTTGGTTGTAGGCAACTGATTAAACGACCCAAACGTGACTAAAAGAAAACCAACAAAATGTAAGTTTAACCTGGATTCCCATATGCACTTTAACGTGCTTTTTCATGCTTTATTTTTGCACTGATAGAATCAATACTTTTCATATGAATTAAAACGGTCACATTAGAAACACATTACGGTAAAGAAACTAAAAGACAGAGTTGTAAAACGAATGAAAACAAGCAAACAAACCAAACAAGAACAGGACTTGTAAAACATCTGAAACATGGTGACAAAATAAGGACAAGCTGAACGGATGACAGACTTTTGTGTCGTAGTTTTGATAGAAAAAGCAAATAAGACGATGGTGTTTCTTAGACCAAATTTACACTTACTTACCGTAAAGACTATTCCATTTTGGCGCTGAAAAATTTAATAGGATTGAAAATTTAACAAAATGTCATTGTTATTACCGTATATTACATTTTTAAAGGAATTTGTGCTTACTATTTGGGCCAGAGCTGAAAAGCCAGGCGTCAGAAAAAGCAGCCAAAATCACCACAAGAACTAAAGACTTCATTTTTAAGGGACTTGAGTTGAAGTTGCAGTTTCTTGAAAGAGTAGTTATATCACTGCCCTTCTCTCGATGATTTAACGTCTTATATACATCAACAAAATTTGCACCGTCATGAGACTGACGGGTATCAAGTTCAAATCATGCTATGTTTTTGTGTTCAAAGTCCAGTTGACATAGATTTGAATTCAATTCTTTGAGATTAAACTAGAACGCGGTCCGGAAATAGCCACATCCTCAACCGAACATGGAATAAAACACGTACGCGTAGTCGGTTCAAATGGAACTGAATCTCAAATCCAAGTAAGGTCAGTTTTTATCTCAGTTTTCGTATACATTTATATATTTGGGGAAAAAAAGCATTTTACTATATTTTACTTTGCGCAGAGAGCAAACACTTAATTTGTAAAGCAATACCAAGTTTATTCATTTTGAAGTAGTATACGAATTAGTGGGACCCTTATTGTTTTCTATCTTCATTTTCAGTGCTATTTGAATAGTACTCAGTGTTATACAGATATAGTGCATATCTGTGAAAACTAACAAAATTTTACAAATTAGTACAAAGTTTTACAAATAGATTCAAGGTCAACTGAGGTATACTGAGGTCTACTGAACTTACTAATTCGTGAAAATGCAATCAATATGCGTGCAATTTCTTGCAAAGGTTTTCGCGGACCTATGGTATGCTATAGTGTTCAGTTTGCACTCTAATTTTGATAAACCTTTTTGATCGTATTTTGAGAAAAATAAATTTATTTTCATTGACCACTTTATGTAATACAAGCATGTTTTTATTTCATGAAGTATTCATTACAGAAATACCGCGAGCTAATCCACGGTTCTGTGTTTATCATATGTCATTTATTTATCTTCCTCCAACTTTGCACAGGTTGTTGTACGGCCAGTCCATGTAGATGTGCTGTGTCGTCAAGGGTCCTGCCGTCTGCAGACATTTTGGCGCGGTTTTTGGGTCGAAGAAATACTATAAAAGAAAACAACGAAAGATGAGGTAAGTCGGGGAAGATAGAGCAAAACGGGTCACCCGTCTTCGAATATTATTATATTAATACCCAGGGTAGGGCCAACTCACAGATTGAACCCTGAAACAACCTCTGGGCTGATCTAAGTCAGGGTACGGCTAACTCACAGATTGAACCCTGAAACAACCTCTGGGCTGATCTAAGTCAGAGAATGGCCAACTCAGAGATCAAACCCAGAAACCTTTGGGCTGATCTAAGTCAGGGTACGGCTAACTCACAGATTGAACCCTGAAGCAATGTGCCGGGTATATATACAAAAGATTCACGTCACCCACCCCGAGTTTATCTTTGGTCGGATGCTCGTATCGTTTGCTCTTCAGATCACCGTATGTGTTCCATCCAAAACTGTTGAGTCTCTTCCCGTTGTACATGATGAAGACAGGGTAAAAGTCATTACAGTCCATGTCATTTGAGATGTCGTACCAGTAATGTTGACCTGCATTCATGAGATAATATAAATAATAATGAATAATAAATGAACCAGATGTGAATGCTGATAAGGACAATATGTTGGTGATGATGATGATTCATGATGATTATGATGATTATGATGATGCTTCATGATGATGATGATTCATGATTCATGATGATGATGATGGTGATTCATGATGATGATGATGATTTATGGTAATGATGATGATCCATGATGATGATGATACATGATGATGATGATCCATGATGATGATGATCCATGATGATGATGATCCATGATGATGATGATCCATGATGATGATGATCCATGATGATGATGATCCATGATGATGATGATCCATGATGATGATGATTCATGATGATGATGGTGATGGTGATGATGATTCATGATGGTGATGATGATGATGATGATGGTGATGGTGGTGGTGATGATGATGATAATCAAAATATGAATGATGGTGATACATGACATGTTAGTCGTCCTACCCATCATTGGGAAGCATTTTCCAGCTACCCATTTTGTTCCAGCCAAATCTTCTTCCTTGAAAGGAATGGCAATGGTGCTGTTGTCGGCTCCATTCCAGATAAGAAGTCTGTCTCCGTAATACTTTCTTTTATCTTTTGAGCTGCAAATGGTGCTGGGGTCTGTGAAGTAGGCTGTCATGACGTACATGTTGCCTTCAAGGACCCAGGGTCCTTTCCTGTCACCAACGATTGACTTGTCTATCTGGGGAATGATGACTTAATGAGAAGAGACAAGGACAAGGACAAGGACAAGGACTGAAGGACAAACACGAGAGTCTTCTGTATTTTCTGCTGATATTCACTCACCCCCATCTGTATTCCAGCCAATTGTCCATTTACACCAAACAACAACATCACAGCCGTGTCTCCATCCAACACGTAACGATTTCCCGCGAAGAAATTGTTCGCTAAAGGCGAAGGAGGGAAAAACCTCTCATGAGAATAGAATATCGCCTAGCAAACTCTGGCAATAATGACTAGATAAAGACACAAGAAACAAGATCAACGTAATAGAGGTTTTGAATGATCACTTGTCGGCAGCCATGCTGGATGGCAAAAAATATTGAACCCTTTAACTCTGGTAACTTGGGAGTAAAATGGAAGTATATAACTAAGTATGTAACTATTAAAAAAACAAAACGGGAATGGAAGCTTGGAATTTGGGGTTTTGCCAAAATGGAGGCTGGGAAGTGGGATTTATAGGACCCACCTTCAGGACCCCATATCGTTCATCATGGCTGCAATCAGGTGATCATGCAAAACATAGTCAAGGACTACTTAATAATCTTACCATCACAAGCTTTTGTTAGTCTCCATCCATCGTTCAGTGCGTCATCTTTATCGGTTGGAAGCTTGCTGAACGAGAGGAACGTTACTACAAAAGAATAATGTGTTTATCTTGGAATTAGCTATTCAGAGCAAATATTGCGAGCAAATAATCACAGCGCGAGAAATCATTGGTTGAAAAAGCATTTGACACCATTGATCATCATATTCAATTACGAAAAATTATCCTACTATTAGTTTTGACAGAAATGTCCGAGAATGGTTTAGATCGATCGTACTTGACCGATAAAACTCAAATGTGTTCAGTAAATGGAATACTGCGGTATACCACAAGGAACCACCCTGGGACCCTTACTTTTCTAAATATGTACACGGAGTGGGCCATAAAAAGTACGCCTCTCATTAAGACTGGCTTGACATTTTTTTAGAGACATATAGACATTACTATATATATATAGGTTGGATCGTAGTATATTTGGATTGAAACGAGAAGGGGGTAAACAGTTTTTTTGCATCTTGAAAATTTAATATTTATTAACCTCCCTTACTTTCTGACCAGTCCCTTACCAAACTTAATTTCACTTACCGTAAAGGCTGTTCCATTCTGGCTCTACGAGGTAAACAAATTATTTGTTATAGTTGCGCATGTGTAAGATTTAAAAAAATGAAGAATGTTTAAAGTGACGAAGAGAAAGATGAAGGGATAGAAGATTTATGTGGTTGGGTTCACATTACGTCTTTTCGTCATTCGCTTGTGACGTGATCATGGGTCTGATCCCCGGACTCGTCATCACGTGTGAGTATAGAGGGTCGCTAATTAGTTCTCTCCTGTGCTCCAAGGGCTCTCTGGTTTTCTTCCCTTCGTAAAAATAAACTTCCAAATTATATTGGCGCGATCACATTCGTCGAGCGCGCACAACCGTCTGACTCTACCCTGCGTTATGATATGAACTTAAAAAACACTGTAATTCTTTAACTTATTAACTTACTTGTTGGTTTAGAGAGGAACCAGGCACTCGAAGCAGCCACGAATAAGGACAAAACTAGCAGAACTTTCATCTTAAATCGGTAGTTTGCAGTAGAGGAACGTCTTCTACGAAGGATCTTTAAGAAGTGAAACGTCGAACTCTGAACATCAGTTTTAATGAAACAGTTTAAAAGGTAAAGAAAGCTTTAAAAACGGCTGGACAAATAAGTGGATTTTTGCTGTACAAACTTTATACAATATCTATTGTATTAGGGTTAGAAAAGTATATTGTTGGATCAAAAGATAAAATGATTTAAATGTGTGAATATTGGAAGATGAAGAACAAAAAAGGTAATTTAAAAAAATATAACTTTTGAATTATTTGCAAGACATTTCGACAGACCAGTCTCTCATTGGTTGCAGTAGAAATACAGGTGGGAATATATATTTAAGAAAATAATGTCTGAGATGAACATATTGAATTCAAAAGGCTAACGATTGCAATTCGTTTGCTTTCTTTGTAAAGACTGTTTTTCTTATTACAATGGGATTAATTTATCATTTRAAAGGTTAGTTACTTAGCTATGTAAACAGTACAGAAGCATTTTGAAGGGGGAGAATGAAAAAGAAAAAATATTATTCAAAAATGAAAAAGTTCGCTTAGCAAGGGTTCACATATTTTTGAGAAGTGCATGCTCCGTTTTACAAAATGTAACTTATCAGTATTACTTATCTACGCATTTTTTTTTTTTTTACTTTTTTTTTTGGAAAGCCCTTATGGGGAAAGATAATAAAGTATGTCTCTAGAAAATAATAAAGTACTTTGCTAAAGTACGAAATATGGCTCAGAGAGAGAGCTTTTATTTCGTTCGAAAAACACTTATTGCGCATGCAGATGTTACACGAGCAACAGTTGCACGGCAATTTGCAACTCAATGTTGTGCGAATAGTTGTACGATTTTGTTCTCTGTATTACGACACCTGGACAACTGAATAACTATTATTTTGTCAATGGGGAATTTACATTAATTTTGTAATTTATTAACACAAATTTGAGTAAATACAGTTCGCAAGTTATTTTTGGCTGATACTGAAAATGAAACGTTTTGAAAGAATATAGATTAGGATTTTCGGGTTCTCATCAGAAGTGGTAAGTGCGCATAATCTAGTTTATGTGTCAGCCTACTCAAGCTCATTACATTTGAATGACAAAAAATATTTAGAATAAGAACAAATTTTTTAATGCATTGAACTAAAAGACCTTATGTTCTAAAAGAAAGTTTGTCCTAACCTCAGTTTCAGGCCCTATCCTCCCCACCCCCCTCCCCTTGGGCCTGAAACTCAGGTTAATTTTGTCCTGACATAGATCTATTCCTGGCTTCACACTCATTGTACATTACATTGTTTTTCTTCATTGTTCTAGTCATGCTAAAATACACATCTCTGACTACTAGCCCCGTTCCTCACAATCATCTTAATTCAGTCCCTGGTGATGCTATAGACCGGAGAAAGCTCATTTTTCTAGTCACGCTACAATACACATATCTGACTCTTAGCCCTGCTCCTCACAATCATCTTATTCAGTCCCTGGTGATGCCGTAGACCAGCGAAAGCTTGGACGAGATCATCCATCATTTTACAGTAGTGTAAGGTCTCACTTGAAATCAATTCAAAGAAAACAAATTTTATTAACAGATTTCTTTTCCAGGAACTATACTTTGAGATCCTCATACCATGCTATGTAAAACAAATTAGATTGCTGTCCCCCCACCCCACTCCCCTCTTTATCATCCTGTCCCCTCCCCTCCTCCCCTCCCCTCCTCCCCTCCCCYCCCCYCCTTATAGAATAACAGCCAAATTACCCAAATTTAAACCAATTGAATATTTTATATCTAGTAGCAGATGCTGAACTTCTTTTCGTGTGCCAGTGATATCAATCGAAAAACTCTTTTAATATTTGAGGTAAATCTTCCTCTTTGTAATCCTTGACAATGAAGTTTGGACTAGAGTGAGCTCCACGAATCATCGCTGATAAGCCTATGACAAGGAAAAAATAAAACATAAGTGTATAAGCACAGCGGATGGTCATGAATCACCAGCATCTTTGTTATGTCCAACTATATCAAGGTAATAACTTACGGCTCTGAGGTTTCGGCCGATACAGGCAAAGTACTTTCTTCTTGTATTCATGTGCCTTGGCAATTTCAAACCCAACTCCAAGGGAAGGTTGAGTCACTTCTGCTACCACAGCTAGAAATTCACAAATTGAAGTAAGTCGCCAAGTTAATTTTCCTTTGTTTGACCATGTGACTTTTCCCAGAGCATTTTTAAAATCAAAATTTCTTTCAAAGATGCGTTATACTAACCTTCAGAAGACATTAACCACTTCATGTCTCGTTCATAAATGTAACAATCATCCCCTGTTAGTTGAAAAACAACACACACTTTGGTGAAAATAATCACACAGACACATCATAACTAGGTGTTTTGCAAGATCCTATCGTTAGGACATAAGTCTAAGTAGATGGCTGTCACAAGAACAATACTGAAACATCAATGATACTGTTCTCGACAAACTCATGTGGATTTTAACTATAAAACCTTGCAAAGCACTATATCTATATACAAAAGTCTTACATTTGCAGTACCTAACTATAGTTGATTGACAGATGTCAGTTACCACACATTTCAATTGAGGCATTTCAATAGTATATTCATGATTGAAGACACTTTGTTGGTACTTTGTGTTCAAATTGTTTCAATACTCCTCTTTATCTTGGGGTGTAATGTTTTCCCATTCCAGGCCACATATCATTTATTCCATTAAGTAACAACTTTTTGTTTACCTTTGCACACGAAGAAGGCATAGATACATGGATACAACTCAAATACAAAACATTATTCTCAAGAGAATTACACGCGGTCTGAAATGAGAAAACATTAAATCCAAGGTAGAGAGGTCTATTCTATCAAGTATAATCCGTAAGGAAGGAAGTCAATATAAGGCAAGTCGAGCTTTACCAAGTTCTTCCTCTTGAGCGACAACGTCCCCAACATGTTCTGTCAAGACTTCTCCATAGGCTCTTAACTGGTCAATAATATGTTTGTAAATATGAATATCATCCCTGCCACCTCGAATGCTACCACAAAAATAAATTTTTCTGGCCAAATTCGCGCTCATTTTCGGTTTTAATGTAAACTTTTTGTTCCGCGGTAGAAAACAGTCAGGCGTTTCTTTTAGTCCTATTAGGACTGGGTCTAGGGAAGATCAATACTTCATGTATGATTCATCTTCGATCCCTTTTGAATTCAAAAGACAATATTCTTATGACATGAAGTATTGATGTGTCATTGTTATTTCTTCCAAGATGGCTTCCAGACAGCTGCCTAAGACGTTCAAGAAGCTTGTTGTAACAAAGCTTAGTACAAATTTTCGCGAGGCTGTGCAAGCAGTAACGGTGCCAATGATTGCTCCAGGTCCAGAAGAAATGCTTGTGAAGACAAGGTGATTTGTAGTGGAAACGCTTCTGCATAAAATTAGATTCGATTAGGAAATGTAAATGTAAACAAGCTTTATAATGTGCCTTTCTAACTTAGAAAATATTGATGCGTTGTAAATTGCGATCTGTATTCAAATTTTCTCTTGCAGTGTGATACAAGTCTTGCCTGCTGGAGTATACATGGAATAATTAATCACTTCCCCAGGGGGAGGGGCTGGGTAAAGGTTATGGGTGGGGGGTGGGGGGCTGAGGATGGGATCAAGTGATTAGCATCCCAGTGCAAAATCTCAATTTACATTTTGGCAAAATTACTTTCCTTGGGTAAAGTCCAGGTTGGTGATTCTATTTGGTATTCCCAACTGGTGACATAAATACTGGTCCCATTGATGAGCCTTGGGGAATCCCATGTTTGGGATTTTATCTTCCATTCTCAATGACCTAAATTTTGCGACTTTTTATTTCCAAAATTACTAGGTATTGTGGTAATCCTATTTTTATTCATTGATTGCATTTTTTTACGAGTTATGCATACTTAAACTATTTTATGTGGTAATTATATCATCCAGCAATGCATGTGCTGAGATGCTTTATCAATTAGACTTATTAAAATTTTGTGTTTTATTAAGTTATGCAGGTATCAATGCATCTGACATCAACTTCACAGCTGGCCGTTACACGCCAGGACAAGAACCTCCCTTTGATGTAGGATTAGAGGTAGATTGAACATTTGCTATGTACTGCAGTTTTCAATATTCTGTGAACTCAGACATAAAAAAAAAAAAACGTAAAAGCTAGGGCATAATTTGAAAACTTTGGCAACATGATTGAAATTGATTCTTGATTTATTTTCATTAGGCTATAGGTGAAGTTGTTTCTGTTGGTGATAAAATAAAGAAGCATTTTAACGTTGGTCAAGCAGTCACTTTCATGAAATATGGTGCATTTGCAGAATATATAGTAAGTAATTTTTCTTTTCTTTTCTTTTCTTTTCTTTTTTTTTTTTTTGAGTTTCACTGTCTCATGACGAGCTACACGGCCTAGTTACCGGCGTGAAGCAGCACTTTCAAAGTGCTGGTCTCAAATTTCGTTTCTATTCATTGCATAGGGAATACTTGCGTAATGCATGTCATCGTACGGATTAACACAGCATGAGCACATATATAGTATGCCACTATCAATGGACGGCGCATTTATACATCACTGAAACAGTGTTTACATCATTATAAGATATCATGTGACTCTTCTGTGGCGCTTTATTTGAAAGGGTCACTGAGAACGTTTCGATGAACTATTGCCCAAGATCAAAGGATTTCAGGTTTTTCTTACACATTATCACT